TTCTTCCTCATCCTCTTCTTCTTCTTCTTCATCTTCTCTTCTTCTTCTTCTTCTTCTTCTTCATCCTCTTCTTCTTCTTCTTCTTCCTCATCCTCATCCTCTTCTTCTTCAATTGAAGCTGCTTCTGCTCCGCCACTCTGCCATTGGACTCTTGATAGTCGTCTCCCCACACTGCTGCTGGGGGGACTTTTTAACATAGGCCTCTGTATGGCCTTCAATTTAAGCTGCTTAGGCTTCGCCACTCTGCCATGGGCCCCTGTACCGCCTCCTCATGCTGCTGCCAGGTCCAGAGTGTGTCATGGGTCCCTGTACGGCCTCCCATTGCTGCTGTCTCCATCGCCACACTCTGCCATGTGCCACTTTCAGGTCTCCTCACACTGCTGGTGGGTTCCATTTTGTCATAGGGTGCTGTATGGCCTCCCATTGCTGCTGCCTCCACCGCCACACTGTGGCTCCACACTCTGGTTTTGGCCCCGTGACTGCCCAAATGAGTGAAGTGTGCGGTGATTCTAAGATCGACGGCACTCATCTGCATGTCATACTGACTGACAGTATTAGTTCTCTTCCCCAGCAGACTCCAAGGGCATTTAAATTAAAGGTACAGTGTTCTGCACTAATATAAAGGCTCTCTGAAGCCTAGAAACCCTTTTAATAAGTTAAATTCGCAGCGAATAAATTCGCATCGAATCAAATTTATTCCGCAAATTCGGCGAATCAGCCGAATCGAATTTTTGAATAATTCGCTCATCTCTAGTTGAGACAATAAAAACTCCTTTTGGGGGCCACACAAATGACCCCTTCAGATCAGCAGTTCCCAGGTGGATTCACTATGTGAGGCAGAAGATGCCATAGGAGGAGCCACTGTGCATACCTGTCCATGATATGTCAATCACTGCCACCAGTCTGCCGCAGTGGATAGTGATAGGTAGTGGGCAGGAATGGCAGTTGTGACACACAGGTGGTAGGTGGGTACAACATTGTGGCCAACTTTTGGCCACCATCTATATCCAGTTGTGGGTGGGCTTGGTGATGTCATACAGATCAGCTCCTACAACTAGTCAGTCAGTTTCAATGGAAGAAAAAAAAAGGAACAGTCTTACCTAAATACAGTAGGTATAGAAAAGAATCATCCCCCTTTAAAATAATGACAATTTTATTGCTTTACAACCTGAAATGAGGACAGACACGGTTTTTGTTTTATCCAGCTGTATTTACTCAGTGCAACATATAACATCCAAGTGAAAGATATAACACCAACATATTAGAACAAACTTCAGAAATTCAAAAACAGAATCACTGAGTTGGAAAAAGGATCACCCCCCTTCAAAAATGACTTGTATACTCAATCAGGTCTAGCTAATCACCTTCTTAATAGCACAAAAAGCCATTTGACTTTAAACTGTGATCAGCTGTGGTCATTTTGATTAGCTCAGCATGAAAAGCTTTCCTGGAGCATTTCAGTCCCTGATACAATTGAAGCAAACAATCAACTAGCAGTGGCAAGGCACTCTCAAGATCTCCGGGATAAAGTTGTGCACAGACACAATTCAAAGTCTTTATCAATGCCTAAAAGCACCATGAAGTCTATTATTAAAAAGTGGAAAGTATTTGGAGCGACGTCCTGATCCAGGGAGAGTCTGCAGTTGCAGGAATTTATGACAAAGGGTGGTCATTGTGTACATGTGACAACAATTTCACAAATGGGGCTTGTATGGGAGGGTTACATAGTCTGGCTGAAAAAAGACAAAACTCTATCCAGTTCAACCATAAAAAAAAAGTTATAATCCTACACCGACAGTTGATCCAGAGGAACACAAAAAACCCTGCAAAGCATAATCCAATTTTCTCCTGCAGGGGAAACATTTCTTCCTGATCCCCCGAGAGGCAATCAGATATTCCCTGGATCAACTTTACCTATATATGTTAGTAACCAGTGTTTTCAACACAATTCTGTGTATTCAAGAAAGAAACCAGGCCTTTTTTAAAGCAATCCACTGAGCTGGCCAGAAGCAACTCTTGAGGGAGTCTATTCCACATTTTCACAGCTCTTATTGTGAAGAAACCTTTCGGATATGGAGATTAAATCTCTTTTCCTTGAGACGTAAAGAGTGCCCTCTTTGTCCTCCTCCAAGGTGAATGAACCACTGATGTATTTATACATGTTGATCATACCCCCCCCCCCCCCGTAATCTCCTCTTCTCAAGAGAGAATACATTCAGTTCCTCTAATCTTTCCTCATAGCTAAACTCCTCCGTGCCTCTTATCAGTTTGGTTACCCTTCTCTGTACTTTCTCCAGTCCCCCAATGTTCTTTTTGTGAATTGGTGCCAAGAATTGAACTGCATATTCCAGATGAGGTATAACTAATGATTTGCACAGAAATTATCTATGTGGTCTTTTACTAAACTCTCCAGTAGACCACATTGGCCTTACGCCAATCCAGTGGAACTATGCGAGTCATTAAAGGGTTCCTAAAAATTAGAAACAATGGCTTTGAAATGACAGAGCTCAATTCTCTAAGAACCCTTGGGAGTATGCCATCCAGTCCAGGTGCTTTATTCCCCTTTATTCTGTCTAAATATTTTTGGATCATATAAATTGTGAGCCAAAGTGGATCAGCTGGAGCTGTGTCAATACCATGCCCATTATGGACAAGCGCTACCCCATGCTCCTTTGTATACATAGAGCTGAAGAAGATATTTAATAAATGGGCCTTCTCTTTGTCACCAATCACCCACTCTAGATTATTTTGTACAGGTCCTACATGCTCTGACTGGACCTTTTTTTACTATTAATATATTTGAAGAATTTTTGGGGGTTGGTCCTGCTATCTTTTGCAATCTGTCATTCGTTTTCAATATTTGCAGCCTTTATTTCCTTTTTTGCATGTTCTGTTATATTCTTTGTAATGTTTAAATGATGATAGTGCTCCTTTATTGTTATATTTAATAAAAGCTCTTTTTTCTTATCTATAGCTTTTTTAACTTTGGCCGTAAGCCGCATAGGTTTGATTTTTAGCCGTTTAAACTTGTACTCCATGAGAATATATTTTGCAGTGTGTTCACATAGTCTTTTTAAAGAATTCCCATTTCTATGGTGTGTTCATCGATGCCAATATTCCCTCCCTGTCTAAGAATGGAGAGCAGCTCTCAGCCTTGGAAACTTAGCTCTCTTAAAGTTGAGCATTTTTATTTCCCCCCCGTATGTGCTTGATGTTTACAGCTAACAATAAATTAAATCATGTTACGGTCACTGCTACCCATATGTTATTTTATATGGACATTCATAATAAGCTCTGCATGGTTTGAGATTACCAGGTACAGCAGAGCATCATTCCTAGCTGGGGCCCTCTATGAAGTGTACTATAAAATTGTCTTGTGGTAGGTTTATAAATGTTTGCCCTTTTAACTGTTCCTGCAGTACCATTACTCCAGTTAATTAAAATCCCCCATTATTATCACTGTCCTAGCCCTTGCAGCCCTTTTGATCTGTGCAAGGAGCTGAGTCTCCACCTACTCATTAACACTGGCAGGCCTATAACAAACTGATTACCTTTGTAGTATGCAGCCCCATTGTGCAGTTCCACCCATAATGCTTTAGCCTCATCACACACTCCATCAACTAGGTCCTCTTTCCAAAGATTGCAAGAAAAAAAATCCACTCCAAGAAAGGTCACATGCAGTCACCACTGAGCTTTGCCAAAATGCACCTTGAAGATTCTGAGGCCACACTGACAGAGAGATCCCAACAGACTAAAGACTGTAATTAAAGCAAAAAGTAGTTCAACAAAATGCTGACACAAGGTGGTCGATCCTTTTTTCCAACTCAGTGATTCTGTTTTTATTTTTTTTTCTGATATGTTGGTGTTCTGTTTTTCACTTAGATGTTGTTATAAGTTGCACAGCTGGGTAAAATAAACTGTGTCTTCATTTCAGGCTTGAAAGCAACAAAATGTGATTATTTTAAAGGGGGTGATTCTTTTCTGTACCCACTGTAAGATGCTGGATGAACTATTGGTAACCCTAGGTGTGACAGTTAATTAGTGGTCATGGTCCCAATACAACTAAAATGTTTAAAACCCGGAACAAATCAGCACATGCCCAGGAACCCAGCTAAAATGGTTGGAGGATCTACTATATTTAACTTTTTTGGTTGAACTAGATGGACTTTTGTCTTTTTTCAGCCAGACTAACTATGTAACTCTAAACTTTTTTTTACATTTTTAATTCAGTAAAGATACCCTTATTTACCCATTATCTGCTTTATATTTCTTTGAAGACTGCTGTACAACAAATATTTAAAACAACAAAACACTTTTGTGCTTGTGCAGCTTTAGTATTCTTTGTTCTTCATTCTCCATAGCGCTATTCTTTTGGAAAGATATGGAGCACTATCCCAAGTAACCCTGGATGCAAGTTCTTTGTCACCAGGAAAAGATGCAAACTCAGTATTGGCTGCTGCTCTGCCTATTCTCCCAGTATTATCATCTCCAACTGTTCTCCCAGTAGTCCTCACAAGAACTCATGCTCTTAATCCTCTATTTTCCTTCTGATCTTTGATCGGCTTATGCCTTCTCTCCCTTTCCTCCTTGACCCAGTTATCTGCTGCTCTGCTAATCTTCTAATGCTCCATGGTCATCTGCTTTTGTTACACCCTCCTAGTCTACAATCTGGTGCCATTTTCTTCTTTTCATCTACCCAATTCACAGTCATTTGCCACTCTTCTCCTTTCTCCCCACTCTACATGGTCAACACTTCCTCTGTTCCATAAGCTTCCCCCACCAGCACCCAGTTGCTATCAGTTCTTTCTGTATCTCCTTAACCATTTCATAACACAATCTATTTCTACCTACCTCCCATAAGACCACCTAACACCTGACCAAATAGTGAATATAAATATACACTATATTTCCAAAAGTATTGGGACACCCCTCCAAATCATTGGATTCAGGTGTTCCAATCATCTCCATGGCCACAGGTGTATAAAATCAAGGACCTAGGTATGCAGACTGCTTCTACAAACATTTGTGAAAGGATGGGTCGCTCTCAGGAGCTCAGTGAATTCAAGCGTGGTAGTGTGATATGTTGCCACAAGTCCATCTGTGAAATTTCCTTGCTACTATATATTCCACAGTCAACTGGTAGTGGTATTATACCAAAGTGGAAGCCACTGGGAACAGAAACTCAGCCATGAAGTGGTAGGCCACGTAAAATGACAGAGCGGGGTCAGCGCATGCTGAAGAGCACAGTGCGCAGGAGTCGCCAACTGTCTACAAAGTCAATAGCTAAAGACCTCCAAACTTGGTGTGTCCTTCAGATTAGCACAATAGTGCATAGAGAGCTTCATAGAATGGGTTTCCATGGCCAAGCAGCTGCATCCAAGTCTTACATCAAGTGCAATGCAAAGAGTCGGATGCAGTGGTGTAAAGCACATCACCACTGGACTCTGCAGTGGGAAACGTGTTCTTTGGAGTGACAAATCATTCTTCTCTGTCTGGCAATCCGATGGACGTGTTTGGCTGTTGCCAGCAGAACGGTACTTCTCCTGTTTGTGTAGGCCAGTCAAATTCCTGTACCCCAAAGCCTTGACCTCAATCTGATAGAACACCTTTTGGGATGAATTAGAGTGAAGACTGCAAGCCAGACCTTCTCGTCCGATATCAGTGCCTGACCTCACAAATTTGCTTCTGTAAGAATGGTCAAACATTCCAATAGACACACTCTTAAACCTTGTGGACAGCCTTCCCAGATGAATTGCAGCTGGTATAGCTGCAAAGGGTGGGTCAACTAAATATTGAACTCTACGTACTAAGACTGGAATGCCATTAAAATTCATGTGTGTGCAAAGGCAGGCATCCCAATACTTTTGGCAATATAGTGTACTGTATATATAACCATTTGATGTGGAATTAAATTTGATAAATCAAAATGAAATAAACGTATAGAGCATAAAGTAATCAAGGTATGTAAAAAAAAAATAGGACACACCTACTGAAAGTATAAATAAGTTGTTAATCTTTGTAATGCACTGTAGACATTGAAGTCTAAATAAAAACTAAGGTGTAAATGTGATAAATGTTTGTTGCAAAGAAAAAAGGGAATATGTGATAACATAAGATATGGCACAGGCTGTTCTGAAAAGATGATGAAAAGAAACTGTACAAAGTGAATAATGAAAGAACTAAATACTTGTAAAGAAGCACTATGATCAAAAACAGGCTGAATCCAAAAATGTTCAAATTGCTCTGTAAGGCCTTTTTTACACTTGTGGTTGGTGTGGTAAAAACACATGGTTGAGCTGCGTTTTTAACTGCTTGCAAACAGCTCTCTCTTAAGACAAGGAAACTCATACAAATGAGCGCAGAGAGGCCACTCCAGGTGGAAACATGTGAACAGTTAATCATTAACTCACCACTGCTGCCTTGTTAATCATTTGCATGATGAAGAGAACTGGAAAACATAGGCGCTGTGGAAAATGCTCTCAGACAAGCACCTTAGTGATGGTGCATCTTTATTGGGTGAGACAAAAGTCTGAGAGACTTGACAAAGCACAACTGCGCGAAACATATCGTCTTGGTAACCCTACATATGCTCCCAGCTGAAGCCAACGACGACATGTTTCGCGCAGTTGCGCTTTGTCAAGTCTGAGAGACTTGACAAAGCGCAACTGCGTGAAACATGTCGTCTTGGTAACCCTACATATGCTCCCAGCTGAAGCCAACGCCGGACACTGCCTTCGCTTGCCATGGTGACACCACCCAGGACGCTGGTACGCTGACACCACGTGATTTGAAGCTGACAGGAGTATTCTCTGATCTCAGCTCCCCTCAGAGCGGATGGGCCGTCCATTGGAGTCACACTGTCCACTTCAGGCTGGTCAATTTTATTATATTTGCTACTTTGTCTCACCCAACAAAGATGCACCTTCACTAAGGTGCTTGTCTGAGAGCATTTTCTACAGCGCCTATTTTTTCCAGTTCTCTCTAAAGACGGGCATGCAATGGAGGGGATGTACATACAGTTGTGTTCAAAACAATAGCAGTGTGTTGAAAAAAGTAAATAAAGTTTAAAATCCTTCTAATAGCTTTTATTTCCATACATACAAATGCATTGGGAACACTAAACATTCTATTCCAAATCAAACATGAAGAAAAATATATCAAATGTGTGTTGTTCCTCTAAAAAAATTTAAGAAAAGTGAATATTAGACTGTTAAAAAAAAATAGCAGTGTTTGTTTTTTTTTTTACAAATTCAAACAAACATTCACTATATAAACTGAAAAATGTTAGAAGATTTTGCTTTCCTTTGAATCACTTAATTAATATTTAGTTGTATAACCACGGTTTCTGAGAACTGCTGTACATCTGTGTTGCATGGAGTCAACCAACTTCTGGCACCTGTGAACATGTATTCCAGCCCAGGATGATTGGACTACATTTCACAGTACTCTATTTCTTGGTTTTGCCTCCAACTGCATTTTTGATGTCACCCCACAAGTTTTCTATTGGATTAAGATCCGGGGATTGGGCTGGCCACTCCATAACGTCAATCTTGTTGGTCTGGAGCCAAGATGTTGCACGTTTACTGTGTGTTTGGGGTCGTTGTCTTGTTGGAACACCCATTTCAAGGGCATCTCCTCTTCAGCATAAGGCAGCATGACCTCTTCAAGTATTCTGATGTATTCAAACTGATCCATGATCCCTGGTATGTGATAAATAGGCCCAATACTGTAGTATGAGAAACATTCCCATATCATGATGCTTGCGCAACCATGCTTAACTGTCTTCACAGTGTATTGTGGCTTGAATTCAGTGTTTGGGGGTCGTCTGACAAACTGTCTCCAGCCACTAGACCCAAAAAGAACAATCTTCCTTTCATCAGTCCACAAAATGTTGCGCCATTTCTCTTTAGGCCAGTCAATGTGCTCTTTGGTAAATTGTAACCTCTTCAACACGTCTTTTTTTCAACAATGGGACTTTGCGGGGGCTTCTTGCAGATAGCTTGGCTTCACATAGGCGTCTTCTAATTGTAACAGTACTCACAGGTAACTTTGATCTTCCTGGAGCTGATTGTTGGCTGAGTCCTTGCCATTTTGGCTATTCTTCTATCCATTCGAATGGTAGTTTTTCGCTTTCTTCCACGTCTTTCAGGTTTTGGTTGCCATTTTAAAGCATTTGCGAGCATTTTAGCTGAGCAGCCTATCATTTTCTGCACTTCTTTATATGTTTTCCCCTCTCCAATCAACTTTTTAATCAAGGTACGCTGTTCTTCTGAACAATGTCTGGAACGACCCATTTTCCTCAGAATTTCAGAGAGAAATACACTGTAACCAGCATGTACAACATTTGCTGCCTTCCTTCCTTAAATAAGAGCAATAATTGCCACCTGTTTTTCAAAGAATGAACAACCTCACTAATATAACTCCACACTGCTATTATTTTGAACATGCCCCTTTCATTTAGTGATTCAATTACACAGAATCAGCAGCATGCATGTCATGACTGTTGGATTTCTATTACTCTACTACACCTGCTAGTAAATTATTTGCCATGTAGAAATATAATTTCTACCAAAAACAGTGATTGATCAGGTTAGTGATGTCTGACTGCTATTATTTTGAACACAACTGTATGTGGCTGCCACTATGTTTTGCATCATGGTGTGGAAAAATGATCTCAACTGTTGCATTCTTCATGCAGTACCCCCTGCTGGACGAAACCCATTCAACTGAATTAAGGTGCCCTGCAACAACGTGCAATACATGAATTTGCAGCATTCTGATGTGGAGTTTAGGGTGTTAAAACAGTGGGTGAGCAGCCCATTATATGCCTCTTCACTGCCTGTCCAATGCTCTATGAAAAGAAACCCAAACATGGATCATTCTTCAGAAGGCATCATATGCATAAATGAGGACTGATTACAAGTGAATACAGTATTAGAAAAAAAGTTTTTTTTCACTTACCGTAAAATCTTTTTCTTCTATTAAGTTCATTAGAGGACACAGGAATAGAATAATTCTTAGACATTTTTATTATATTGTCCATAGAGGAGGCTGGGACACTAGTAAACAAAAAACTGTTAAGTCACCCCCTCTAAAATTCCACTTCCTAATGTCATACCTCAGTTATATGAGCAAGCAGTATATAAGGCCAACAACACAAAGGGGCGGGACCAGAATAGACTTCAAGAAAAAAATTACAGTAATCAATTTAGTCCATTGAGGGACACAACAATGTAGTAAATCGTAGACACTTGGCAATAACCAATGAGAGATCCAACAGACCATACTACCGAAATCTGACAAGAGCAGCACCTCACTGAAGGCCTGATGACGAAGGGCCAATCAAATATAGAAAATTATCAAGATGCCTGCTACAAGAGTTTAGAGTAGCAGCGTGAGAACCCAAACTGCAAAAAGTCCGGAAGTGACGAAACGCGTTAGCGGAGTGACGTCAAGACGCACGTACGTAGACCGGAAGTGTCGCCACGGCCATTTTGTTGGTTTTCAACACATGGTTTTCTATGGTGTTTGGTTGGAAAAGTTTGAAACCATGTCTGGAGCTGATAATTTTAAATCTAAATGTAAGTGATGAATAAAAAGTTATCCCTATGCTTGGAATATTAGTCCTGAGACCCTTCTTATCTCTCTGAGGACCTTGGAAAAAATATCTTGGAAGATAAGGTGGAGGAATACTTTTCCATAGTATTGTCTGAGCATTTTCAATACTCATAGAGGGTAATAGTATTTAGTACTACTGTGTGTTGGTTGATGGTAGACACTGATTTTCAGTGACCACAGAGTGCTCACAGTTTGATGTGTGTGATTATATGCACTATAATAAAATATTTTTTTTTTTTGCACAAAAAGCTTTTTTGAAGTGTATTTTGGTTGCACGGGGTGATTATTGTTATTATTATTGAGGTAATGCACTAGATATTTTTATATTTTTTTATTTTGAGGTGCGTTTTGGATGAAATAGCAGACAATCCTTTCAGTGGATGAAAAGAGTGAATAAATTTGGGATATTTGTGGACACTATTTTGGACTTCTTTTTGGACATTTTTTTGGATCAGTGGGACTTTGTTGCACATTATATGTTTAAAATTAATTTATTTTATTTATTTATTTTCGTAATTCACAAAAAGATTGTATATATATATATATATATAAATATATATATATATATATATATATATATATATATATATATATATATATATATGACCACTAGAAGTATTGTGTGATGTTGTCAAGGACAGACTTGAAGGGACACCTCTCCTTTAACCATTAGCCGCCCGGCCAATGGCCGTTTGGCGGCTTCAGATGTGCTCCTCCATTCCGGGTGCACGCCATTTGGCGATCTGTCGCCGGCCGTGCACCTCGGACACGGCCGATGACAGATCCGAGTAGCTCCCGTTGCTGGTACCATGTGACCTGCTGTGACCAATCACAGCAGGTCACATGACAGTTGTATACATGGATGGCTTCATTCATGATGCCATCCATTGTATACTAGTGCCTAGCTGTGAATGGTCACAGCTAATCACATGCACATGTCATGTGA